GTTTCATGCCCTATATCTGGGATTTTTGCAGGTGTTGCCTTCCACCCGTGCAGGAACCAGGCCTATTTCTGGTCCACCTATGAATGATGGCACTATCTTATGCAGAGAGCATGACCCAGAACTAGTAAGTTCCATTGATGTTCAGTGCAACTAAATAATTGTGCATGGCAGCACAGCTCAACATTATGATTTTATATATCTCTACTTCAAAGTAGGTCTTGCTGTATTAGAATCACGGAATAATTGAGCTGGAAGGGGCCTACAATGCTGCGCATGTTTACTCTTACGGAAGCCTCGTTGTGTTTAATCTGTGTCGCCAGTTCTAAAAATTGTGACACCCAAGGAGATCAAAAAAGCTCGCACCAGATTTTTATATATTCTGCCAAAATCTGGCTTACTCTGAGGGTATGTTTGCACTGGATTGCACAAAGCAAAGTCAGCGTGCTGAAGCTCACCGCCTGATAGTGTATGTTTATTCAAGAAGAAAACCTCATTGTGTTCATTAAGGCTTGGTCCCCAACCACCCAAAAACCGTATACAGAACTACAAAGTCTGCAGCCTTGCTCTTTACAATGCTGCGCATGTTTACTCTCACGGAAGCCTCGCTGTGTTTAATCCGTGTCTAAAAATTGTGACGCCCAAGGAGATCAAAAAAGCTCGCACCAGAGGCCATGGCCCCTTCCCTCTGAAATAAATTTCCTACAGAGGTCTGCCAGGCTGTCTTCCCTCTCAGTTTTTAGCAAGATAAGATCAGAATTATACAAAGCTGCCTTTTGCCAGAGTTACACTCAGAACCTATCAGAGTTGCCAGACTGATAGGTTCAAATTTGTTTTAAATTTGTATTAATTCTATTTAAATGCAGGATAGGATTCTCTCAGCTACTGACAGCGCTTCTGTCCTCTTTATTGCACATTGTGGTTTTCGTATTGCGCAATTATGCCTACGTGGGTTGCCCAAACTGCCCCGCATGGCACTAATAGGGTGGCACAGGACTGGTTTTATAACTAACCGCTGCCTGTTTGAATAGGGTTTTGATTTGTTGCAACAATTTACAGCAGTAGTTTAATTTCACTGCACTAGTTATGCTTCTGTTTCCTTTTGTGTCTTTCATGTCCCTGTGATCGCTGCCCCAGAGCAAGCAGAGGGGCGGGGCGGAAATTCAACAAATAAACAAGCCAGCGAGCGAGCAAACAAACACGCAAAGCTGAATGAATGGATGAATAAATAAATGAATGGATGGATGGATGATCCATCGAGCGCTTGGATGGATGGATGGATGGATGGATGTAATTTGTTGCAATAATGTAGTTTAATTTCACTGCACTTGTTATGCTTCTGTTTCCTTTTTAAGCCTTTCATGTCCTTGTGATCGCTGCCCAGAGGAAGCACGGATCAGAGGGAGCGGGGCAGAAATTCAACAAATAAACAAGCAAACAAACACAGAAAGTTGAATGAATGGATGGATGGATGGATGGATGGATGGATGATCCATCGAGCGCTGCTGTTACTCCATAATGACTAAGCGCAGGATTGCACCCGCCCCGTTTACACCCACCCACACCGTTTCCCCGACACACACACACACACTCACACCCACACCCACACACACCCTGATTTGTAAAGCCAGGGTGCCAGAGGCGTCTCCAAGGGACGCACCGGCCACCCGTACCCAAACCCTTCCTGCAAGGGGGAGCCCGACACCCACTCCAGCCCCCCAACCCCCGGAGGCCTCCAAGCGATCGGGGCCCCCTCTTCGGGCGTCCAAACGGTGCAAAGCTGCCGGGGAGGGAAAGGAGGGAGGAAAAGAGGGCGCGGAGGGGCGGGAGGCGTACCAGGCGCAAGTCGCCGGCTTTGTGCACCACCACCGACAGGTTCGTCTCCTTGGGCGCCGCCATCGCTGCTCCTGGTCCGGCTGCCGCTGCTGGTGGTGCCCGGGGGACGCGCCTCGCACCGCCTCCGGGCCGCCGCCCCTATTTATGGGTTGGCCCCGGGCTCAGAGTCCGACCGGGGGCCGCTTTCGGCGCGCGAGAGAGGGGGAGCGCGAGACGGGTCGGACTCTGACCCGCTTGAGACCGCGAGGCCCTGCGTTGTGCAACGCCGCCGCTCACACACTCACACACACACCGACCCTTCCCCCCCGCAGGCCGT